AGCAGCGGGAGGCCCCATTAGCTAAAGTGGTGCTTCAGGTTAAGAACAGTTTCAGGTTAAGTACGGACCTCCGGTACAAATTAAGTACGTAACCAGAGGTACCATTGTATTGATGAATATGAGTGTGCTAGCTATTGAGGTGGCACCTTGCCATATGAAATCTCATATTTTAAAGCATTATTTCTGTGCTCAGCACACTTCTGCCTGTCTTGTCAAATGTGCTCCTTGGTAAGGTTGGCCCAAGACATGCTGGCACCTGAGGCAAACCACAAAATACTACCTCCCCATTCCAGGGGAAAAGGGGTTAAGTGAAGATCGACATCAGGAACAATGTGAGGGGTGCGGAATAAAGATCTCCACAGGAAACATTCCACATAATGACCTGCCATCTTGATCCCATTTCATCTGTGGCCCGGTAGCAGCAGGAATCCAATATGGGTACGACTTTCAGATATCCTCATATCTTAGGAACCTGTCTGTACCAATCTATCAGCATTTATTTACCAAAGCCAGACTAAATGTACTTCCTTTGGAAGTGCTAAACGGTAGAATGAGAGGCATCCCTTATAATACACTTTATGTTCTCAGGACGTTGATTGCATGAAGCATAGCTTACTACATTGTGGGCAATATGAGCAAGCAAGGGACCAACAGATCAAACCCCTACTGGCAAATCTGCTGGGAAAATCAAAACCCTCCTGTTATGTACTGAAGTTCTCACCCTGGGCCAGCAGGGGGATACTGTAGATAGTTTTCACTCAGGTCCACGTCAGTTATTTTAGGCGGGAAACCCTGGGTTGTTGTTGCTACAATGTTGACAGCCGGCTGCCTATAAAAGCAGGCCAGCTGAGCTGTTTGCTGCTCAGTTCTGTTCCAGCTTACAAAATAAAGAGCTGCTTTGGAGAAATCGCTGTGTCGTCTGCTATGTCCGCCCACAACTTAACACTGGCGACGAGGATGGGATTGATGGACATCAGAGTACAGCCAGATGCGGCCAGCCTCTGAACTGAGCTGAATCACTGAGCTGAATCACAGAGCAAAATCACTGAGCGAAATCACTGGACAGAACCAATTCAGAGCTGACTGTTCTGGCTAGAGCACTGTGTTCCATCCATCGCCCTTTACGCCGGCATCGGAATCATGGCTTCACTTGTGCCTCTACCGCCGTTTGCGCCAGCCTCTGAATCGTGGGACTCCTACCTAGCTCGGTTCAACTGCTACCTCCAAGCCAACGAGCTGACATCAAATGAACGGAAGCGGGGCCTATTCCTCAGCCTCTGTGGGCCTGAGGTGTTTGAGACGGCCCGAGCATTGGTTGCGCCTGAAGCAGTCCAGGCAACACCATGGGACACGATCCAAGAGAAGCTCCACAACCACTACGCGCCAAAGTCGTCCAAGATTGCTGCCCACCATGCGTTTTACCACAGGAACCAAGCAGAGGGGGAGTCAATCAGCAACTACACCACTGCCCTCAGACAGGCTGCAATGCACTGCGAGTTCGATGCCCTGATGGATCGAATCGTCTGCAGGGTCCGGGACATCCATCTGCAACGGCGTCTCCTCGCCAAGCCAGACCTCACGCTACAGAAAGCCATTGAGGAGGCTGTGGCCTCAGAAGCTGCTGAACGCTCCGCCCAGGAGATCCGCAAGTCCAGCAGCCCGTGTCTTGCTAGGAAGCCAGTTCCAGTGCATCATGAAGAGGCCAGCAGTGATGAGGCATCCTCCAGTGAAGACGATGACGTGTACCAGACAAAGCGGGAGCACAGGAAGTTCCAAGAGAAGTCCAAGGACCAACCGGAATGTGCCGGCTGCGGAGGCAACCATTCCCGTGCCAAGTGTCGATTCAGAGACGCCATCTGTAGGAAGTGTTCCAAAAGGGGCCACATCGCTAAGGTCTGCCGATCGGCTCCGTCTGACACCCCCTCTTCACCGACTCGCAAGTCTAAATCTTCACTCCAGTCTGCCAAGGAAAGCTGTTTCGCTCTCACCAACTGCCGCTGCCCGTCTGGAACCACGATTGGCCAAACTGACTCGCCTACGCGACGCAAGCTGAACGTCACGGTGCTCATTGAAGGAGCTCCATGTGACATGGAGATCGACACCGAGTCTGCCCTGTCCATCGTGTCTTGGAGCACCATCAAAAGACTGGTACCCAGCGTCCAAAAGGCAACTCGACTCTCACCGCGTACACCTGAGAGACTACCAGGGAAACGACATTCCCGTGGTAGGTGTTGGCCGGTTCCGGATCGCCTTCAAGGATTTTTCGGGCCTGCTCCGGTTGGTGGTGGTCGAAGGTCAGCGGCCAAGCCTCCTAGGGCTAGACTGGTTTGATGCCCTCGGCCTGGAAGTCACCGGCATCAACTGCATCTCTAACGCAGAGACTGAGGGTCTGGTCAAAGACTTTGCTGAGGTTTCTGACAGCACTTTGGGGCAATATAAAGGTACGCCCATCTCCTTTAGCCTTGATCCACAAGTCGCCCCAATCAAGCTAAAGCCACGCCGGGTTCCCTTTGCTCTCAAGGCTAAGGTGGATGAACAACTGGACAAGCTGATCGCCCAAGGAGTTTTGGAGCCGGTTGACCACGCCAAGTGGGAAACCCCCATCGTCACGCCTGTCAAGCCAGATGGATCGGTGAGAATCTGCGCTGACTACAAGTGCACGATCAACAAGGCACTTCAGCAGCACGCTTATCCGGTTGCTGTTGTCCAACACCTGCTGCATTCTCTGGGTGAGGGTAAGGCCTTCGCTAAGCTGGACCTTGCCCAAGCCTATCAACAACTGCCCGTCGATGATGCCACTGCTGAAGCCCAGACGATCGTCACCCACCGAGGGGCATTCCGTTGCCGCCAGTTGCAGTTCGGGGTGAGTGTGGCTCCTGGCATCTTCCAAAGCCTTATGGAGCGTCTCCTGCAAGGGCTTCCGGGCGTGGTACCATATTTTGATGACGTCTTGGTGTCCGCAGACTCACACCAGCAGCTGTTTGAGCGCCTTCGTGCCGTGCTGACCAGGTTCCAAGAGGCCGGGCTCAAGGTAAAGAGGGAGAAGTGCCAGATCGCCGTTCCACAGGTAGAGTTCCTGGGCTATCTTATCAACGCCTCCGGCCTTCACCTGACCACATCCAAGATCTGCGCTATCCAGCAGGCCCCCATTCCAAAGAACAAGACGGAGTTGCAGGCGTTCCTGGGGCTGCTGAACTTTTATAACATGTTCCTGCCCCACAAAGCCATGGTGGCTGAGCCTCTTCACCGACTCCTCAGCACAAAGACGCCTTGGTCCTGGGGTCATCGGGAGACGGCGGCCTTCAACGCAGTCAAGGCTCTCCTTTCATCGGACCATGTGCTGGTACAGTACAGTGAATCCAGGCCGCTGGTCCTTGCCTGCGACGCCTCACCTTTTGGCATCGGCGCTGTCCTTAGTCACCATTTTCCAGACGGAAGAGAAGCACTGCTCGCCTACTTTTCCAGGACGCTATCTCCGACGGAATGGAATTACAGCCAGCTCGACAAGGAGGCACTGGCACTTGTGGCTGGAGTGAAGAGGTTCCATGAATACCTCTATGGCAGGACTTTTGACCTCATCACTGACCACAAGCCGCTCCTGGGCCTCCTCGCCGGTGATCGTCCAACTCCACCAGTCCTCTCGCCACGCATGCTGCGATGGACTGTTTTCCTGGCTGCCTACCACTACCGGCTCGTCCATCGCCTGGGGAAATCGATGGGCCATGCCGATGCCCTCAGCCGTTGCCCTCTTCCAGCGTTTGTGGAAGACCCGGCTCCAGCTTCATCACTCCTCCTGATTGAGGATCTTCCAGCAGCGCCTGTATCGGCTGCCACTGTGGCCTCCGCATCTGCCCAGGATCGCACCATCAGCCGTGTGCTCAACTGGGTGTGGAGGGGGTGGCCACAAGGGCCTTTTGCATCAGAGTTCCAGCCCTTCGCAACCAGACAACATGAACTCTCGGCTCATCACGGCTGTCTGCTGTGGGGAGACCGCGTCGTGATTCCCCAAAGACTCCGTCAACGCGTCCTGGAGGCTCTGCACGTTGGCCACCCTGGAGTTGTCAAAATGAAGGCATTGGCTCGGTGTTACGTCTGGTGGCCTAACATGGACGATGCCATCACTGCCTGGGTGTCCGCCTGTCAAGCGTGCCAAGAATCGAGGCCTGCACCACCGGCAGCTAAGGGACACACCTGGGAGACGCCAAAGACACCCTGGTCGAGGGTGCACATCGATCTGGCTGGCCCCTTTCATGGCCGGACCTTTATGGTAGTGGTGGACGCCTATTCCAAATGGCTGGAGGTGGCCCTGATGCCCTCCACCACTACTCAGGCCGTCATCCGGGTGCTGCGAGGCCTGTTTGCGACGCATGGGTGTCCTGATGTCCTTGTCTCCGACAACGGACCGCAGTTCACGTCAGGCACTTTTGAGCGGTATCTTTTGGGACTGGGCATCCGCCATGCCCTAACGGCACCCTTTCATCCATCCAGCAACGGGCAAGCGGAGAGAATGGTGCGCTCGGCAAAAGAGGCACTGGCGCGCCTGGACCGGGGAGACTGGCACGAGCGGGTTGCCGAATAATTGTTCATGCAACACATCACCCCTCATGTGACCACAGGGCGGAGTCCTGCTGAACTCCTTATGGGCCGCCGCCTCAGGTCACCGCTCGACCGGCTGCACCCGAACTTTGCCGTGGCCGAACCGCCAGGCTGTGCCAACGCGCCACGGTCATTTGTTCCAGGAAACCAGGTCTTTGCTCGGAACTATGTGGGGGACATTCCTTGGGTGCCAGCCACAGTAGTGGGAGTCACTGGACCTCGCTTTGAGACTCCTGAAGGGGAGTGAAAGGCGGGATATCAAATCCAAACTCTTCTTCTTCCTCGCTCGTACCAGGTGGCACTCGAAGATGGACGCTTGTGGCGCCGGCACATAGACCAGCTTAGGCGCAGGGTTGGGGACTTGGACACTACCGTGGTGCCCCCGACTGCGCTTGTGGCTCCAGAAGAGACACTTACAGATGGTGAGGCTCCACCTCCCTCGCAAACTGCCAGTGTGGAGCCGAACCAAGCCGCTTCAGAGGGTCTGCCAGACTTACCACAGACTCAGACCACTCCACTTGCAGAGGCTCCACCCACAGCAGCGGATCCAGGGGATTTGGTTTCAACGCCACCTAGGGTCACACCACAGCCTCAGCAAGAATTGGGTGGCCCCCCGGACTTGGCTACCAGTCCCCGGCAGTCTGGCAGAGTTTCCAAGCGCCCAACTTATTTAAAGGACTATGTTGTTGGACATGTATCACTGTTGGTCTAAGTAGGGGAAAATGTAACCGATATGCTTTTGTGCCTAATTGAACCATTACGTGTAGTGCTGTATATAAGGAAACCATTACAATTGTAACTAACGCCTTATCTCGGTGGGGAGGGGTGTTATGTACTGAAGTTCTCACCCTGGGCCAGCAGGGGGATACTGTAGATAGTTTTCACTCAGGGCCACGTCAGTTATTTTAGGCGGAAAACCCTGGGTTGTTGTTGCTACAATGTTGACAGCCGGCTGCCTATAAAAGCAGGCCGGCTGAGCTGTTGGCTGCTCAGTTCTGTTCCAGCTTACAAAATAAAGAGCTGCTTTGGAGAAATCGCTGTGTCGTCTGCTATGTCCACCCACAACTTAACACCTCCCATATTAAATATCTTTTGGATGACAGGTCTAAAGATATTACACTGGCCCTGGCAAAGTTCCTTTTGGAAGTCAAAAGAAACAAAGATCATCAAGCTCGAGACAAAACAAAATGAGCGCCGCAGTTTCTTTCTCTCTTTTGTGGTTGGCTGTCTTAACTGTACAGTCATACCTCAGGATAAATGTGCTTCAAGTTAAGTATTTTCAGGTTGCGCTCCGCGGCGACCCGGAAGTAACAGAGCGCATTACTTCTGGGTTTTGCCGCGCGCGCATGCGCAGACAGTCAAAATAATGTCATGCCATCTCATCCAGTGAGTCCCCATTAAGCCCGGCTCAATACAACACCACAAGGGGCTTATTCTCCCCACTTCAGCTGTTGCCACCACATATTGAACTCAGTCCAAAATTGCATCACTGTTCTACTCCCCTACCTCAAATTAAGCAATTGCCGGGAAGTGGCAGCCAGACTCTGGGGGTCTTGGAACATTATATCCATGAACACCAAAATCCCTCAAACATCGTACAGTGGTACCTCCGGATATGAAGGGTATCTGTTCTGAAGCCTCGTTCGCATCCTTAAGCGAATGCAACCCGCATCTGTGCATGCTCGCAATTCGCCACTTCCGTGCATGTGCATAACGTCATTTTGACCATATGCGCATGAGCGAGTGGAGAAACCCAGAAGTAACAGGTTCCATTATTTCCAGGTCACCGCAGAGCACAACCCGAAACTGCTCAACCTGAAGCAACTTCAACCTGAGGTATGACTGTATCCATGAATGCCAAAATCCCGCCTTTCTTCTCCTTCACTTCCATTGCTCTTAAAGCTTCTCCAGTCTCTTCATTCAGGGACTGAATGGCTGGCCTGTCTCTTCGCCAGAAGGATGCGGGTGGCGCTGTGGTCTAAACCACTGAGCCTCTTGGGCTTGCCGATCATGGGGTGAGCTTCCGTTGCTCTGTCCTAGCTCCTGCCAACCTAGCAGTTCAAAAGCACGCCAGTGCTAATAGATAAATAGGTACTGCTGTGGCGGGAAGGTAAATGGCATTTTGTTGTGCTCTGGTTTCCGTCATGGTGTCCCATTGCACCACAAGTGGTTTAGTCGTGCTGGCCACATGACCCGGAAAGCTATCTGTGGACGAACGCTGACGCCCTTGGCCTGAAAGCGAGATGAGCGCTACAACTCCATAGTTGCCTTTGACTGGGCTTAACTGTCGAGAGGTCCTTTACCTTTTTTACCTTTCTTCCCCAGAAGACACTGTCATGTGACAAAGACACATGAGAGCAGAAGCAGCAAAGCAGGTTAGGAAGTGCTGGGACTGCACAATCATTTGGGCCTACTAAAGTTATTCAGGCCTAACTGCTAACTGTTGAATCACTCTGACATGTAACTCAGCAGCCAGTTTCTCTCTGTGCTCTCTGTAAGTTTTCAGTCAGAGTCAGTCTGCCTCAGCTGTAAGCAGAGTCAGTATGTAATCTCAGTCAAACTGTTTGGAACCATGTTGTTTATGTAGAAGTTTATTTTAATTCAGTAAAGCTCTTATTCTTTCAATTAAAAATTCTGCATTATTAATTTACGCTGCGCGTCAGACTTTGCCTCAGACTCTGGCTTATCTAATGGTTGCCTGGCTTCCAACTCTTCCTCTCTTCCTCTTCCTCAGATTATTCCCTGGGAAGAAGGGGTGGGTGGGCTGTCCTCTCTAAACTCAAACAGACAGCTTGCATCTGCAGAGTTAGCCCTTTGCTAGCTCAGCTCAATTTCTGAGGGGGGCATGTTCCTGACAGCCCCTATGGATCCAGCTACCTAAGATGGTCGCCACATCTTGCCTCATGGGTGGCACCATCCTGCACCTTAATATGCCAAACTACACATTCAGCACCCTCACTATGTAACCAGCATCACAAACACCAAATGGGGAAAATAATAATAATAATAATTTATTATTTATACCCCACCCCCATCTGGCTGGGTTTCCCCAGCCACTCTTGGCGGCTTCCAACAAAACACTAAAATACAATAACCTATTAAACATTAAAAGCTTCCTTAAATAGGGCTGCCTTCAGATGTCTTCTAAAAGTTTGGTAATTATTTTTCTCTTTGAAATCTGCTGGGAGGGCATTCCATAGGGCGGGTGCCACTACCGAGAACGCCCTCTGCCTGGTTCCCTGTAACTTGGCTTCTCATAGCGAAGGCCCTCAGCACTGGACCTCAGTGTCCGGGCAGAATGATGGAAGTGAAGGCACTCCTTCAGGTATACGGGGCTGGGGCCGTTTAGGGCTTTAAATGTCAGCACCAACACTTTGAATTGTGCTCGGAAACGTACTGGGAGTCAATGTAGGTCTTTCAAGACCGGTGTTATATGGTCTCGGCGGCCGCCCCCAGTCACCAGTCTAGCTGCCGCATTCTGGATTAGTTGTAGTTTCCGGGTAACCTTCAAAGGTTAGACCACATTGCAGTAGTCCAAGTGAGAGATAACCAGAGCATGCACCACTCTGGTGAGACAGTCCGCGGGCAGGTAGGGTCTCAGCCTGTGTACCAGATGGAGCTGATAAACAGCTGTCCTGGACACAGAATTGACCTGTGCCTCCATGGACAGCTATGAGTCCAGAATGACTCCCAGGCTGCGCACCTGGTCCTTCAGAGGCACAGTTACACCATTCAGGACCAGGGAATCCTCCACACCCACCCGCCTTCTGTCCCCCCAAAACAGTACTTATGTCTTGTCAGGATTCAACCTCAATCTGTTAGCGGCCATCCATCCTCCTTTTTTTTAAAAAAAAAGGTTTTATTGTTAAAATAATTCAGCTTTAATACACACATATTGTGAATATAGAAACATACAAACATACATTTCATAGAATCCTTAAAAATGTTCAAACATACCTGCACTCAATCCCACAGATAATTCCTTTTCCCATCACCATCCACCACCCCTCACCCCACCTTTGTGTTAGACTTCCAATCTACTCAATTGCAATTTCTTTCCACTTCTATTACTTTCTTTCACACAATTTAACCTAATTTCATGCTTCTTTTTCTATTACACATTGTTATCCATGTTATTTAGTATTCCAGTATTTAAAACAGAACTTGTTTATTCTAATAGGAGTTCTGATATTTCAATATGGTTTTGCAAGTATCCTTTAAACACCTTCTAGTCCCTGTCTATCTTCTCTTTTGAGATCCTTCCAATTTTTCCCATTGTTTTGGATATTTTGTAGTACTCCAATAATTTGGCAAGCCACTCTATTTTTGTTGGTATAATACCACTTTTGCAATTTTTCGCAATCAATAGCCTTGTGGCTACTGTTGCGTATAAATATAATGTCTTGTCTTCTTCCTTTAGACTTCCTGGTACTATTCCCAATAGAAAACCTTCTGGTGTTTTCCTAAATGAATATCTGAACATTTTTTTCATTTCGTTATATATTGTTTCCCAAAATTGTTTGATATTTAAACAATTCCAACATATATAGCCGCCATACATATATAGCCGCCATCCATCCTCCAACCGCCTCCAGACACTCACACAGGACCTGCACCACCTTTAGTGGTTCCGATTTGAAAGAGAGGTAGAACTGGGTATCATCCACATACTGATAAACACCCAGCCCAAACCCCCTGATGATCTCTCCCAGCGGCTGCATGTAGATGTTGAAAAGCATGGGGGAGTGGACAGAACCCTGAGGCACCCCACAAGTGAGAGCCCAGGGGTCTGAACACTCATCCCCCACCACCAATTTCTGAACACGGCCCAGGAGGAAGGAGCAGAACCACTGTAAAACAGTGCCCCCAGCTCCCAGTCCCTCTAGACAGAAGGATGTTATGGTTGATGGTGTCAAAAGCCGCTGAGAGATCCAGCAGAACTAGGAAACAACTCTCACCTTTGTCCCTAGCCCGCCGAAGATCATCGACCAGTGCGACCAAGGCAGTTTCAGTCCCATGATGAGGCCTGAATCCCGACTGAAAGGGATCCAAATGGTCCGCTTCTTCCATGCGTTCCTGGAGTTGTTCAGCAACCACTTGCTCAATCACCTTGCCCAAGAATGGATGATTTGAGACTGGGTGATAGTTGGCCATATTAGCAGCATCTAAAGATGTTTTTTTAAGAAGCAGTTTGATAACCACCTCTTTCAGCGGGTCTAGGAAGGCTCCCTCACAGAGAGAAGCATTCACCACCCCGTGAAGCCCATCGCCAAGCCCTTCCCAGCTAGCTTTTATAAGCCAGGATGGGCAAGGTTTTACAGCTCTGTGACTCCAGTGTCTGAAGTCTGTCATAGTTAAAGGATGCTATCGCTGGATTCCCTATGTAGAAAAAGTTTGCCTACATGGAGATAAGGCTCCTAAATATTTATGCAACTGCTTGCTGGTTGGTCCCATCTATGAGGACTTAAGAGAAGTTTTGTTCATATATTTAAATCTCCCAACTGAGAGATGGATAAGTATATGATTAACTTTTTATTAAGGGGCAAGTGCCCATACACTTCTGAAAAAGTGGTCTGTTCTGCCTTTACAGTGACGATTATAAGGAGAAAAAATTATTCTGCTTTTATCCTGTTTTATGTATTTTTGATTTTGTAATTGCTTCAGCTAAACCAATAAATAATAATTGCATTTGTATCTGAAACAGAACTAAGA